CAAACAGACTGATGCATGCTGACATTTTCCCCAGCAGAAAGAAAAGAAACGAGAGAGAGAGCGCTCTCCTCCTCCTCCTCCTCCTCCTCCTCCTGCTCCTGTCCTCCTCCTCCTCCTCTCTTCCCTTGAAAGACGCTGTCAGCTACGACTGGCCTTGTTCAACGCTGGCGCACACATTCGCACACAAACACCGGTTTTTCTTGCTGTAACACACAAATGCACATACTGTATGTGTGCGCTCTCCTCCTGCTCTCTTGCTGACAGGATGGAGTCAAACCCCACTCCATCCCCCCCCCCGTCAGAGATGCTCTCTCTCCGGGATGTGACAGGGAGGAAACAAGGTTGACTTGAGCTGAAGTCATGCTGTAGCTCAGGGGCAGACGAGGAGGAAATGTCACCATGCTGCTAATGTTGTTTTAAATAGCCGTGTCTTTGGGCCAGCCAGCGAGCGCAGCCGCTGCACTGTCAGTGAAACGCCGAGGAGGATCTACCAGAACAAGGGCCGCTGCATTCGATTTGATGCGGTCTAATTCGGCAGGATTTCATTTGAGCCAGTTGAATTGAATTTGCTCGGCCTAATGAGTGATTGAATTCTTATTTGGGAATGCGCCTTTACAGTACGTCTTTTGATTAAACACAAATCAGCAGAGATCTGTTTTGGTTCCAGGAAATTCGGCTCACGTCACATTCAATAGAAGCTTTAGTGGTAACAGGGGAAGCAGTGAGAGTAGACACGCCTGTGATGGTGTCTCAGGTGTGATAGGAGCAGAATTAAATGCCACAATAACATTGAGAGATGCGTTAAATACAAATAAAGGTAACAAAAAAAAAAATACCTGGGAAACACAAAGTGCTTTGTAGGAGTAAATAGACACTTACAGTGGACATGATGAGGTGCAGCTCAACATAAGATCATAACCTGGACTGTAGTACAGGTTAAATACGTAATAAAAATAATAATAGCAATACATTTTATTTGTATTTCAAAAACTCAAGGCGCTTTACAGGATAAAAGAACAATAAAAGCAACAAATACAAAAGTAGACGCAGCAAAAATACAAGCAAGCAGGTAAAACAACACAAAAGATATCAGTATGAAGGTTTAAGTATGACCGGGTCTATGGGGTCAGGTGGATGTGTTGTGGGAGAGAGTTCCAGAGGGTGTCGGCAGCAACAGAGACGTGTAAAGTTCAGTGGAAAGATATATAAACACAGTGACAATAGTAACCAGGACCAGGTAGGTAGTTATCAAGTGGACATGAAGTGAGTTGTCTTTGCTATAAAAGTATAATTCTGGGCTCAAAAGCCGATTCTGAAGCAGATCACAGTTTAAAGTCTCTTTGTGGTCATTGATCAAACCCTAAAACCCCATCGTGCCCGTTATCACACATATACTGCATGTTTAGAAGTTTTATCAGTGAAAATACGTTTTTTTTTAAAAAGTGTTAATTTGCAAAATTTCCATTTTTGTAGATTTTCAGAGAACTTATTTTTTGTTGTTTGCTTTAATTAATATTTATCAAACTGAAGTCGAGTGGATTTGATTCAGTGGAAATGACAACAATATAACTTAAGTTTGATTGATGGAAACGTGGGTTTTCTGACGGTTTGTGACGATGCAGTTATCTATTTTTGCAAATGAACTCTTCAAATAATGAAAATAGACAGTTGATGAACTCCCCACTGCTCTCTCTTTTCACCCCTGCCCACCTGCTGTGGCTCAAGCACACCAGCTCACCTTTAATTCTTCTCCAACACTATAGAAACTTTATGCCACACAATGGCAAGTTGTAATATTGGAGTAAACAAGCCAAACATGTTCAAACTGGAAACCTATTCTGAAGAAGAATAATGGTCTGAAACACCCGACCCTGCAAGCTGACAGGACCGTTGCACATGAAGCCCTGAACATCTCAGTCTGTGTTCCTGTCATCGGTGCGTCGGCAGTTTCAAGGCAGACATGGTATTTACTGCTTATTTCTCTCACGACGTGGCTTCCAGCATCTAAAAAGCGCCATATGGACATGTTGACAAGGTTAAAAAAAAACATTTTCACTAGAGGGTGTCTCTTAACACACATTTATGCAGAACTGAAAAAAAAATGTGAGAAGTTGAAGCTGAAGGTTGCAGAAGGTGGAGAGCTGAAGCAGCGATGTTCTGAGCAGAGCGGTGAGCCGGGGCAGGAGCGTGACTGGATGGGTGAGCGGAGCTGGTGGTGGGGCAGACGGGCGAGGAGACAACAGACCAGAGGCACAGGGAAAACACAGCATTAGCCAGGAGTCATGAAGAAAACTACTTGATAAAATCGAGAGTGAGTAGGTGGCACATGAGTGAACTGAATCGTCTGGCGGAGACTGGAGGGTTGAGTCGAGGTAGATAGACTGCTGGAGCGGATGGATGACGAAACCTCAGGTGTGTGGATGATCGACAAGAGCGGGAATGTCGTGCCACACCCAGACAGATACCGAGAGAAAAACAAGACACCGACAAGAAACACCGGAGAGGGAAAACAGCAGAAACACTGAGAAATACTGCTTGATGCAGTGTCAGATTTTATAAAAGGTGTTTTCAGAAAGGGAGTGAATAGAAGAGGAGACAGAAGAGTAGGAAGAAAATCAGGATGTATAGTCGAGACAGAGAAAAAAGGGTGCAAAGGATTCAAGATTAAAAGTATAAGAAACAAAACAAACGGCCCAGGAGTGAGATGACAAAGACAGCTGTGGGCTACAAACACAAAGAGGGCAGGAAAGATGGTTAAAGCCCATCTTATTCATTTTTAAAGGGAAATCCAGCCTCATTTGAAATACAAGATTATAACCTGCTATGACATAATTGGTGTGTCTTTTAACTTTAAATGAATCCAATACCCCGTCCCAGCTGTTTTTAGTTTGCAAATATGGTGCGAAAAATGGTTATAAAGATAATTGTAGTTTTAGTTGACAAAATGCTGAGTAACTGTTCATTTATATATGAAGTTAAAGAAAGTAATTCCACATTAGTCTGATTTGTTATCCTGTTTATTCCAAACATCCACCTATAATTAAGATCGTGTAGATCAGCTCTGTCCATCTTACTATCAGTAAAACCCTGTGTGTAAGGAGCAATTTATCCAATTGTTCAGGTAACTTTACCCCATAACCCTGTTTGTAGCTCAAATGTCCCCCCCTCCTGATCAGAAACTAGTAACAGTGGTTATAAAACCAGGAAAGAAATGTTAAGACCTGATTTAGACAAATACAAAACAAATGCAACAGTTAACCCTTTATGGGGCAAGTGACCATATTCGGTAACCTCCTTGGACGTTCAACATGTCCACCCTGGGCCTCTCCTTGACGTTAAAGAGCCATGTGCACTTTGATTTAGTTTTTATATTTGTTCCAATATCACGACCTTACAAAAAATGTCACTAAACAAATGTTCCAGGCGCTTTCGTTACTGGTTAGCATTGAACTCCACTTTGATTGATTTGAGATTAGAGCCATTCATACCACTACCCCAAGAGAAATGTCACTAAATGAACTGGCCAAGCACTTTATAAATACTTTGTTGCTGGTTGTGAAAGTATCATTACCTCAAACTTGTCACTCATTCTTTTATTTATTATAAATCCCCCCTTTTTTTAACCAGAGACAGGCAAATTACCATATATGGTAACTTTATTAATCTTGATTTGCAACATTTTTTTTAAGTCACAAAAGTAAAAATATCTTGAAACATCCTCCAATAACACCCTAGAGTTGAAATGTTCATTTTCCAAGTATTTCAAGAATAAAGGGTTAAACTTGTTGACTCATTGTTACAGATCAAACCACCTGTGTCTCCTCTCATTTTCCTTGTTGTCAATATTTCTATTCATTTGGGCAGCAAGGTTTAAAAATGTAACTCTAGACTTCTTTATAAGTGTGAAAGAAAAGTCTTGATTGTATGTGGAAGAGGGTATTTTTGTTAGGTGTTGTTTTTGTGGCCAGACAAGCACAGGACTGAATGCTAAATGCTGTATTTTGATCACAGAGACCTTTTGAAGTGTTTAATTTGAGTTCAAAAGGAAAAAAAAATAAAACTATATGTGCTAAACTATAGTTTGTAGCCACTGAAATTAGTCCACAGTTTGGTTTTCACACACGTTATTCCCACATTGTGTGTCTCACAACGCATCTCTTTTTGGTCAAATCTGCCACATGATCGAGCAAATTTTCTAAGGGTCTGACCATGAATGTTCTACACGGGCGTCTTGAATCTTAGCATCTTCTATCAACACAGTTTTATGCCAGCTTGGAGCTCTCCTCTGGTTTGAAGCTGGATGGAAGCTCTTGTTGTTGTCTGCACATATCAGATCTGGTCAAACCCATACAATCCTTATGAAGTAGCTTCACTTGGTTGTTTTATTGAATTATTTTTTGTTTTGTTTCCTTAAGTTTTTAGAGAATTATGATTTCAAACCAATTCTTGTTTCTCTCTTGACTCACTAACAATATCATATGTAGGCCGCTCTTAAGAATACCTTGTGTATTTACTTGTGTATTACCAGTATGTGTACTTTGCAGTGCGGTTGCTTTTACTTGCACCTCTTCCAGGTTGCACAATTGCAGCAGATGGGAACTTGGCATGTTTTGTTTTTCTCAAGCAAGATGCCAAGATGTAGAATTGGAAGGAAACTTATAAATTAGAGTGAATATCTAAACAATGGCCTTCTCAAGTCTCCAAGGAACTTTTTTTTTTTTCTGTTTCTTCTCAACTCCTCTCCTGCCTTGTTTTTCTCATCTCTTCTCCCCTCCCTCTGTCCCCTGCTCTTTCTTGCCTTCTTCCTTTTGTCTCCCAGATAGACTTCCCTCTGCTGACATTGCAGACACATCCTGATGATGTAAACTAGTGTAATGATTACTGCAGCCATCAGGGGCTTCTAATGACAAGATCAAAACACATATTGTACCGCGCACACACACACACACACACGCAGACCCACTTTCCTTCCACTAACTTGTTTGTGTTTCTCTCTCTAGATTCTGAGTAATAGGAAAGGCTTGTTACCGGAACCGAACCTGGCTCAGCTGTTGACCAGTATGACCAACCCTGCTGCCCTGCAGATCCTCATGAGACCGTACCACTCTGGGAAAAGAGGAGGTAAGACTGCAGATTACAGTCACGAGGGCTCCTGCATAGAGCTCTGGTAATCATTTGACTAGAATACAAGTCTTTATAGGATATACAGACTTTTTTTTTGTTTTATACAGATATATCATGTGCAACAAATTGGACTACTCCTCTATTAGTGTGGATCAAAACAAACCGACTGTATTTATGACAGACTGTATGAAGAGCTGAAATGGATAGGAGTGTGTTAGTGAGGGGTGTTTATTCAGATCACAACTGGAGATGTGATGTGTCCTCTTGAAGGTAAATGCAGGGTTGGAAGAGCAGATTGCCACGTGTCAAATGAAATGACAGCGGTGCGATTGTAAGGAAAAAAAATAACAACAGCTAGGCTACAGGGGAGGTTCGACCTCACCCAGTGTGTCTCCACACTTACAAAATGACGGCCTGTGACCAATAATAAGCATAAAATCAAAATATTTTATAATAGTAAATGTATAAAAAGGGGTGCTTTTAAATGGGGGAGAAAACTACAACATCATGTTGACATAACATACACTGTCTGAAAGCTCCAGGTGATAACTTATGGTTTCTGAATCTGCTGTCCTTTAAAGCAGCCTTCATTATTCAAATTAGCATTTACATTGCACATTTTGAACAATCCCTTAAATTTTAAGGCCCATCAGTGTCCTGAACTCATCCATTTGAGTAATCTTTCCGCTCCTAAGGGGCTCCGCCGGTAATCAAAGATCCACCGTACGTGTCCGTCCCTCTGCTCGGCCCTCCTAAATACAGTACTGTAATCACCTCGTCGACGGCATCATCATTTGATGAATGGCTAATCAGGTATTAAAATGAAATCGTGTGACACTAGCGGAACAAATGAGAACAGGAAGGAGAGAGGATGGGAGAGGCGGGGGAGCTCTCTTAAAGAAGAGCACGCACAATTAAAGTCTAAAATTAGGATCTTGATTAAATGTTAAACTTTCTCTACCTATTCTGGAGGAAGCTACCATTAGCATTGACGCCTACATTTATTATGAGGAGGCCTTGTGGTAACACGTGTGCACACGAAAGTCACAGAGAGGATGTGTGTGCAGACGTCGGGTGGCGCTCGCCTGATGATGAGACAGGCATAGTGATGAGTTTTTGCTGATGTGAGTCCTGAACAGGAAACATGTGTGAAGGCAAACCCTCCACAATGTTGGATTTCTGTGATTTTTTTACACACCAAGCTGCATTAGTTTGAATCACAAACTACACAAACTTGTTGCTTCCTCAGTACTGATTACATCAGTAGAACATCAGTTCACTTAAATCCTTTGGTACTACAAAAAAAAGTTAAATTGAGGTGATAAAATAGTCGAAACAAACCACAAAAGATGAAAATTCTCTCAAATACAGTACATGTGTGATGTGGTTTATCAATTTAAAACTAGGGCTGAAACAACTAATCGATTTAATGGATTAAAATCGATTATTAAAATAGTTGTGAACTCATTTAGTCATTGATTAGTTGCTTAATTAGTTGCAATAGTTGTTTTTTTTACTGTAAGCGGTCTGTTTTATTTCCAAATTTGAATCAATCTGTTATAGCAGCTACCAACGTGTGGCAGTAATGAGCCAGTACAGGAGGAGACGTAGCCAACAGCCAATAGTTGGCCTTGATGTGCATCACGTGCACCACGGCACAGTCAATGCGTTCAGCGACATGGCGGAGGTGACTCGCGAAAGTTTGAAGAAAAAAGAGAACAGAGCGAAATCAGGAAAGAAAACTTCACGAACAAATTCGTCCCAGGCATGGGAGCGCTACACACTAAATCTACAGAAAAGACGATGGACCTGCAAACTTTGCAAAAACAAACAGTTTTTGTTTTTTGTTTTGTTAAAAAACAATTCTGCCTCATTTTTGTGTTTGATACTTTGAATTGAAAAAGCGTTTCACTGACGAGGTAGATATGAAGCTCATTCTGTTCCTTCTGATTTACGTTGTGTTTTACAGAAACTAGTTAATTAAATGCTGTAAAATGCACAATTCTCTTTTTTTAAAAATTTTTATTCATGAAAATGTGTTCTTAATAACTTACCTGGGTAAATAAAGGCTGAACAAAAATATTTGTTAAAAAAATGAATCATCGTAAAAAAAAAAAATCATCGACAGAATGATCAACTATCAAAAATAATTGTTAGTTGCAGCCCTAATTTTAACATTTACAGTTCAGTTGGTCTGACAGGATTTTAAACTGTACTGGACAACAAATTCATCATAGTGACAGGATGTCTGGAAATGGCAATACCAGGAAAAAAGAGCAACTAGAACAGAATATAATAGAACTAAGAAGAAGATATAAAATCACAGCTATACTTAAAGATATACAGACGGGCAATGCTTCAGTTAGACTTTTCTTCTTGTGAGCACGATGGCTGGTGGTCATCATAGCTCATCCGGCTAATGTAATGAAAGAAATGCCAACACTAAGCAACAGGGAGCACTCTTTCACAGGAGAGAAGTTATCTCACAATATTTTCCAGTTCCCAACCTGTCGATTTTAAAATATGCTGCAGTGAGTAATCGTCAGTGTGGTTTGGCTTTTTTAACAAGAATTTACAACAAAATTTTAAAGGTTCTTTCATGTCAAAGTGAAAACAGATCCCTGCAAAGTAGTGTCGATAAAAACATACGATGTAAAAATATGTATTGTGTAAGTATTGTTTTCACATTTATTTATATGTTTTTGTATTTATCTGTTGATTTATTTATACATAGCATGCTTTAAAGCCTTTTCAACTCTTTACATTGCTGTGATTTTCACTTCATAACTGCTTCAGTGCAACACTTACTGCACAGTATTACAGTTTTTTTACATTTTTAAAATAGTTTCTCACAAGCACTTTCTGAAGTGTAAACATGACCTGTGGGCTGTTTTTATTGGTTTTGAGAAAACTTTTGAAAACAATGACAGTTAGAAAGAGGAGCATATTTGCTGTTAAGATATTAGGTTGTTAGAGGTGATTTCTTTTGTGCTAAAATAATAAGCCAATATTGCTTTACGCGTGCTGCTTATGAAACAGACGGCTGTGTGATTGCGTAAAATGTGCTGTAAACGACTGATGGATCGGTTGTCTGACTTGTAATTCCGCCTGCGCGTGCCTGTTGAGATGATGATTGATCAGTGCATTAGTGGAGACAAAAAAAATTTTTAAAAAGCAAATCACAAACGGAGGCACTGATTGATGTTTTTATTTGTTGTTTAGGAAAGTACGGACGTCACACCAGCCTGCCGTTCCTCAGGCCTCCTCTCACCACAGCTCTGCTCACGCTGGGAAAAGCACACCAGGTCACAGTCACGTCAACATGTGTGTGGGATTGAATTTTTTTTTTTTGTGTGGATGTGTTTGTTAACGTAACGTCTATTTTACCCTGCAGAGCGCTATGCTTGGTAATGGACTCGTCCTCCAGAACCTCCTGCACATGCAGCTCGCACAGCAGCAGCTTCTACACATCAAAGACAAACGCATCAGCAGCGTAAGTCACCTGTTTGTGTGCGTGTGTGTGACGATTTGCGTAGGCTCGCGGTGAGGGTTAAACACCGTGGTGGGCATGTGCAGATGCACTCCTACATTTTCAGCTTCAGCATTTACTGCATAATGAAACTAAACCACCCCGAAATCACGCAACCTAATTGCCTCTTTTCTTTTTAAAGTAAGACCTTGAGGTGTTGAAATTTCCCTCTATGTTTTCATTTGCATATTTTCTTTTAAAATGGCTCCAGTGTTGTCTTTAATTGCAGTGAGAAGTGAAAAGTTAAAAGTCACAGTAACTGATGTTTGGAATATTTAGTGTTGATACTCCAGACTGCAAACAAAACAAAGTGTATGTGGTTTATTTCTGTTGTAACCCTTAATCGCCCCACCCGTTACAAGATATAAGATCCTTATATTCTTTATATTTGCTCTCTTTTCTTTTCTACGTTGTCTTTGTTTATTCTTATTTTTCCTCCCGTTTTTCCAAACAATATATACATTTGGATGTAATCGTGCAAATAGCCTTCCATTATGGTTTCTATTTTCTTTGTCTCTCCCTCCTTGATTCTCCTTCTCTTCTTACATTCTCTTGTTATTCTTTCTCCTGCTTTTCCTTTTTTTTTGGAATAAAATCTGCCTTCTATTTTGCTCACCTTTCCTGTCTTTCTGTCTGTAATGCTCTTTCTTCCCCCCTCCATCCATCAGGTCTCCAGTCTGCTCGGAGACCCATCCAGGCTGCTGATGCAGAAAGCCTTGTCTCTGCGGCCTCCAGGCCTCGTTCCACTGGGGAAAGGTCTGCTGGGAGACTCCCCTACAGGTGAGCAAACGAATGCATCTAATTACTGCAAACAAAGTAGATCGTGTTGAAGCCTTCAGCCTCTCTTCATCAAATGATTTTGTAAATAATTAAAGCCCCTCTCTGGTTGCTGGCTTAACCCCTAAAAACTCATCTCTGTGTATCAAAGTTACATATTGAAAGTTTTTTTTTCCCATCAAAATAATATTTTCTTACCTTAAATGGCTTAGCTGTAACTCATTGTTTCCTCTAGAATGTGTAGATCTATATAGTCCCCACCCCTCTCCACTCACTCGAGCACACCAGCTCACCTACGGCTTTGATCAAAGACTGTAAAACTACTCGACAGCATACAGTGGCAAACTGTAATGCTGGAGTAATTCAGCCATATGTGCCGAGCCAGTAAACAATTCTTATGAGGAATAATGATGCAGAAAGCTCGACCCTGCAAGGTCACAGGATTGGTTCCTCAGGTCTGTTACATATGAGACCCCACAAGTCAGAATCTGTGTTTCTGAGTCTGTTCTGAGACAGTGCAGCTTAAATGTAGAAATGTTCAGCCAAAGCATTGACTGTTTTGTTTGCTCGTGATACGTCTTCCAATTTATAAACGGCACTGTATGGTGTTAACAAGATCTAAAATTTGATTATCACCAGAGGGATATCTTAAATGTATCGCATTTTTGGGTGTTGTCTTCTTTTACTTCCTCTGTTATCTGCGACTTGGAGCATCTGGAAGAACATCATTGCTGCTGCTACATCCACACCCTCGTTTTGCTTTGTGGACTAAATTCATTTTTCCAAACTGCTGTACAGCGACACATACAACTTCTTTTAAACTGATCAAGCGCCACATATGGTAATGTTGGATCTGTTAGGAGCTGTGCTGCTTCTATGTGACAGGCTTGCTTGTTATTTATGCTAAATTATGTACAAGATAGCATCATTTGATATTCTAAGCATATTTTATGGATTATCATAAGCAGTTTTATGTAGACTAGACCTTAAAATGGATGTGACACATAAAATGACTAGACTCAAAAACAAAACTATTAATTGTATTTTTGTTGGGGCTGCAAGGTGGCGCAGTTGGCAGCACTGTTGCTTCGCAGCTTAATCCTCACTATAGGGTTGTCGGGGGCTGGAGTCTATCCCAGCTGACTCAGGGTGAAGGCAGGGGACACTCTGGACAGGTCACCAGTCTATCACAGGGCTACACTTAGAGACAGACAACCAAACAATTTAGAATCACCAATTAATCTCAGCATGTTTTTGGACTGTGGGAGGAAGCCGGAGAACTCAGAGAGAACCCACGCTACACAGGGTGAACATGCAAACTCCATGCAGGACTCCTCCTAGGTGTCCTTACCAGTACAAGAACTGGGGATCTTCTACCTGCAAGGCTACCTGCTAACCACCAGCCACCGTGCAGCCCCTTCTTAAAACTCATATTATAACAACTTACTTTATTCTTTAAAACTAATTTTTTGCACATGCAGTAGTCACTGAGTGGAGACTAGAGGCTTCTCTGTGCACACTCACCTAGTTAGCATGTGAGGCATTTAGGGGACATCGACAAACTGTAGAGTCAATTGTGCTGAAACGCAGTGATTGAGGTGCTTTGAGTGTAATGCTATTTATGTTTTCCTACCAGGAGATGCACTGAATTTAAGTGAAGACGAACCTTATTATGAGTCTCATTTTGAAACAAAGATTAGTACTTGAGCAGAAATAGAAGTGAAGGCAGTGCTCTGGTTATTCTAATGAGATCAATAAACACATCTTGTTCCTTAAACAGTAATTAATTGTGATCAGTATTCATGATCTCAATACTGATGAGAATAATTGTAATTATTGTTTTGGACATAATCCTTAAGGCTTGCTTTATACTAACCAACAATTTGTTTTGGAGAGAAAAGCTTATAAACCGAGTCTGAGCCTGTCTGTTTAAAGCAGCCCATATGTCCAACAATCCCAAAGAGCATTTGTATTTTCTCAGGTAAATCTTAAGATATTTGTTCAAACAATAACTATGTAAAGGAAAAAGGATGTAAACACAAAAGAAGAGAGTGATATACACGTAAAAGAATATACAAATACGCTTCAATCAGGATATGTTAATGTGGTGGGAGGGCTGTTCCTCTCAAGGCTGCTGAATGTCTCACAGTTACAGGAAGCTGCTTTACAATTCAAATGTGCAGCTGAGAAAAGCTGCGTTGTTTTAAATGGAAATGATATATCACTGACTGTGCGTGCACAAACACAAGTACTTATGCATGTGTGCATCGTTGCGTTTGTGGGTGTGTCCCTCTTTGATTGTGTGTATGAGTTTGCAATTTTGTGTGTGTCTGTTATGTGGGTCTTTTATCAGTGTGTCTCTCTGCTGGGAATGTTAGCTTAAGGCTTGTTAGAGCTGATTCTTTTATTGTGCTATGGAGGCCATTTGTCACAGCAATATTGGATTTATAATAAAGTGTGATTGCGCGTGTGTGTGTGCGTGCGTGTGTGTGTGTTCACCTTTCATGTGTGTTTGTGTGTGCATCTTTAAATTATGCGTGTTTGTGTACATTTTTTGTGCTTGTGTTTATGTATGTGTGTACGTATTTGTGTTATTAAACCCCGGAGTGAGTGAAATATTGGGAGTGTGGAGCTAAGTGCCGGGCTGTAAACAAACATGATAAGTGGTGATGTATGAGCAGGAAACCCATTCTCAAATATTACAGGCTCTACAGAGACGGTCAGGCTGAGCTCTCCAGCCGTCTGAGTGATTCGTCTCTGTCTCGAGGAGACAGAGACAGTGATGGTCATCAGTAAAAGCCATTTCACATGTTTATCTGGCATCTGTCCTCACCTTGCTTTCATTTCCTTTCACTTACTTTGTTCCTATATGCTGTATTTTTATTTCATTCTTATCTGCCCAACTTTACTTTTTCTTTTCTTCACACTTTCTGTCTATGCTCTTCTCTCATTTCCATTTACTTTCTTTGCCTTTCTTATTTTTTTTTCTCTTCTGGTTTTGCTCTCCTCATGTCAGAGCTGGGCCAGGAGTCGGTGCCAGCGTCTACCCACAATGCCACAGTAGTGGTTTCAGCGGCAGGTGTGATGCCGTACCTCCAGGGTCGAGCTGGAGGAGGAGATCAAAACAGCGCTCATTCCGTGTCCACGACCCCATCTGCTTCCTGCTCTTCTTCCTCCTCTTCCTCGTCCGCCTCCACCGCCTGCGAGAGGCAGCCGGCACCTCCGGGGACGATGGTGAGCTCCCAGCCGCAGGGACAGAGCTATGCCTTGGGTATAAGTAACTCAGGCCTTGGCCCCCCTCCACCTAAACCTCCTGGAGGAGTTTATACGTCAACAGGCCAGCACAACAGCTCAGATGGCTGCCCCCTGGCTAGCATGGTGAGCACAGTCAACCAAACCCGTGTGCTAAGAGCAAATCCACAACACTCGGTGCTATAACCCCACTGTCCCTCCTCTCTGCATCTCTTATTATTCTTTATCACCAGCTGTTTGTTTCCAGATCGATTGTGAAACCAGCAAATGTGACGCTTGGTTTGCTGGTTATTTAGTTGACTTGTACGTTGAACAATGTAAATGAGAAGAATAAACACAAAATGAGAAGAGTCTGGAAAACCTGGAGTCAGATTCTAGGTAGACGGTGTTGCAACCAGAGTAATGATTTGTGTATCACAGGCCAAAAAACACCAGCCCAGTTGAACATAGAGCAACCAATGAAAATGACTACAAGAACATCAAATCTTGGCATTTCTTCAAGACTACCCCTAGAACACACTAAACACAACACAGGATGGGACAGGAGTGAAACTCTGAGAAAATACCAGTCATCCATATACAGAAGAAAATGTGTTTAATATGTGCTATTTCTGTTGTTAGTTCCTATTTATTTTGAATTTATTTGAACTTTTTAAAGGAGAACATATTTGTGTAACACCCCCCTCCTATACACACACATGACCAAAACTGTCCTGTAGATCATATTGACTACCACTGATTCCTTGCTCTGGATATTTAAGCCCCTTTCTGGTCCTACAAGCTAAAATAAGAGAGAGGAACTTACAGTAGAGCATCAGAAGGTGAGGAAATGTTGCTGTATATTGTTGCACATTACAAGACGCATGCAGCCCATGAATGTATGACTAACACCAAATGTTACTTTTTACAGTGAGCAGAGCAGTTTCCAGTGTTTTGGGCTTTTCTTCACATTTCTGCACATAGATTGGTCCAACAAGAAAACTGCAAAGATCACAGTTTGTGGGTCTTTAGTGCAAACAGGTGCACACACACCGAGCTCTGCAGCATCACAAATTAACTTTCATGTCTTTTTACTTCTTTTACTTTTCCCTCCTGCCATAGATTTTGTATTACTAATAATAACAATTGATCAGATTTATATCGCGCTTTTCTAGGCACTCAAAGACGCTTTACACTGTCAATTATCCATTCACACGCATTCATTCCAGTGGTGGTAAGCTACTATTGTAGCCACAGCCGCCCTAGAGCAGACTGACAGAAGCATGGCTGCTGTTCTGTGCCTACGGCCCCTCCGACCACCTCAAACAATCCACTCATACACATTCACAACAGGCAAGGTGGGTGAAGTGCCCAAGGACACAACAACCACGACACAGGTTACTAGGCGGAATCACACCGCCAAACGATCATTTACCGACTCACTCTACCACCTGAGCCCCAGCCACCCAGTTCTTTTAACATACGATGCATCATGTTGTCGGGTGTTTCTAAGCTTTCAACATCTCACACCGTCACCCAGGAGACCCTCACCTAAGTCCAGGTAGCACAACACCACCAATGGGTGTCCATCAGCTAACATGTTGGGTGTAAATATGACTCAGGCAGATCTCAGTTGGATTGACATCTGACTCTTACAGGAATATACGGTGACTGAATGCAGTCTGATATTTTGTAGGAACATTAGTAGAACCACAGAAGTCATTTTTGTTGCCTACAGCTGGCTAAGAGTCCGATTCTTTTTATCTGACTTGAATAAATTCCTGCTGCATCACACAGCGGCAGAAGCAATGAGTGCTTCTGTAAACTGAGATCACATGCCTATCAATGCATGTGGCACCACAGCACTATCTTTATGAACATAGGCTAGGTCAAAATCAGTAAATATTGTTCTATATTCTCCTAAACACCAACCCAACATGGTCCTTCCCCAATGTCTGACTGAGGATTATGCCTTCGTACAGAGGTACATCATTGCATGAAAAGTTCACATTCATAAAAGATTCAAAGTTTAGTATATTGAAATCCAAACCTTGCTTAGTTTGATCATAGTTATTATTATTCACGCTAGTCTGTAATTTCACAAACTTTGTATGTGAGCCATACAATCCTGGAACAAAAAGTCTTCTTAAGCTGAAAGAATAAAACAACACAAAGTCATCTGTTTCTTTGCTAACATAATCAAAGCTGAGTACATTTACTGAAAAATTAGTGCACACCAGAACAGTCATTAAAGCATTCCCAAAGGTTGCCAAATGTAGCAGGAAAATAGATAAGTTGCCAACAACGCAGTCTGGTTGAAAGAACTTGAACAACAACCGCTTTTATTCTCTTTTTGTCTGTTTAAAAAAACACTGAAAACTTTTAATTTATGAAAAAAAAAAGTGTCTTTTCTTTTGGTGAAGATGTTACATTGGGACACTGTGATGGGCATTTTTAGTATGTTCTGACACTTTTAAGATCAAGCCATGAACAGAAAAATAAACTGATCCATTGGTAATAAGCGACTCTGTCTTTCCACCCTTCTATCCATCTGTCTCTTGCAGACAGGAATATTTACTCCTGATTTAGCCTTGTCTGGTCTTAACTCCATTGAAAACACTAGGGAACATATAAATAAACAGCCGTCGTCCCATGAGGACTCTTCCTTTGGGAAGTTCCCATAATGCTTTTCTGTCTCACCTATATTTGCTGCTACAGTATGAAGCCTTCTGCCTGCCTCTCAGCCTCTCCAGCTGTCTCTTCTGCTCCGGCAGCCAGAGCCCACCTGTCTGTTCACCTGCATTTATTTTCTCCTCACACTGAATACCTGTCGGCTTTTGTGTTCATATGCATCTCCTGGACTGGGCCTGGATTAAATACAGCACCGCTAAGCTAACATCATCATCCATTATAAGTCAGCGTACGGAGATAATCACAGTGCTGAAGTTCTTAGGGGAAATGATTCCCGTCCCAGCGCTGTCTTCTCTACAGTCTTTTTAATGGAAGGAAAGTGTAATTAATGGAGAGAACAGTCTTTGCAGGTTTCCACAGTCTCTTTAGCTTTTCAGTAGCTCGTAAAAGTCAACTTTAAAGCCTTCTGCAGAGGTAATGCACATGTAGCGTAAGGAAAGGAAGGAAGACGTTAAAGGACCCAGTGGGCAGTAATTGAATTTGCTGCCGAACCTCCCCCCAAAACAGACTGATTTTCTTTGATGTGCAGTACCTATTGACGGCACAGTGAATAATGCAATTTCAATCCATCTGTCTCCTGTCAGGTAAGCAGCGGTCAGAGTTCTTTGTTGGGGGATCCTCCTAAAGAAGTGAGGCTGCCCTCTAATCCATACCTAAACCTGGCCAGTGTAATGCCAGGAGTGGTTCTGCAAGGTGAGCACACAAACACACAGCACGTTAAGGCATTTCCATACAATCCTAAGTTATATAAATTACACTTGAGCATTAGGATAACCTCTGTAGTTCTTGTCCATTGGAAAATGTGTTTGTATTACATAGTGTTGTATAGTTATACATACATGAAGCGGTAAAAGGATGGTAGTAAAAGATGGGTTCATATCATGTCCTGTCTTTCTGTTTATTTATCCTTCATGTATTGATGGCAGCTGTAGTCAGCATGAATCTGCAGCAGTTACAATTAATTCAAATGGTGACCTGAAGCAAACTCTCAAAGCACTTCTGCAGCAATAATCATTTACCTGCTGTTGATGCACATGTCCTGTATGATGCACAATATGCAACTTCCTGTGTTGCCGTAGCCTCATTACAGCTCCTAAGCTTCACAGGAATTGGCTGAGCAGGGATTATGTGGGTACACACTAAATATACATGCATAAACTTTAGATAAATAAATGATACTTTTCAAGAAGTCAAAGCCTCAGTTTTACTTGGTGTGGGGTCACTTTTTACAGCAATATAAAGTCCTGCACCTCAATGGAAATAGCAGAGAGAGAGAGAGAGAGAGAGAGAGAGCTCAAAAATGTCCTTTGACACAGTATGATGGGTATAATGCCATAAATCAGGAGAAAAAAATAAATAAAGCAGAATTTCTTTGATTGTTTGTTGGACCAAAAAACAACAACAACATCACAAACTGAAATAACATTTACAACATATTTCCAAATGGCCGCAGGTGTTACCAGTTACGGGGGGGAAATGGTGGCTCCTCGTATTGATATTCTGGTGTTTACATGTTTTATTTGTTTCCATGCTTGTCTCTTATCCGCTCTGTGTAAACACAACCTGCAGTTCATCCCAGTTTAGGCAAAAAGTCCCTGATTTTCATCACATGATCACGGGGTTCTTTGTTTATTTTTATTTTTATTTTTTCAGAATCTGGTAAATGCAAATGGTTTAATTCTTGGTAAATTTGTAAATGAGATATCACGGTTTTAAGCTTAGATTGGGTCACTCTCCTGAGTCGTTGAAGATCCAAGAGTTTTCTCTGACTCTGATAAATGCTGTAATTTTTCAGTTTTAAGAGTGACACTCTTTTCAAATCCACCGGTAGGATTAATTAAGTTTCTGATTGTTTTTTTCCTCCACATGTCTTTGAGTCACTACTGGCATTCACGTCAGATGTTGCTAATCCATGCTGACGACCTTATTGTGTGCAAACTTTTCGTAACCTCTCCAACCACCAGTCATGAATATTTGATGTTTATAAGATAGATGTTCACTGAAGGATTCATTAAGCAAGTTTTTTTGTAATCTTGCTTGCCATCTTTGTATTTGAACCCACACTGTTGTCATTTTAACACATGGATCCTTCCACTGCTGCTCAGGGTCAGTGGGGAGCAAAGCCCAGGGAGGACAGCCTGGCTCCGGGGTGTACGGCGGCTCGGTTGCTCCTGTGGTCTCCCAGGGCTCCGGATCCTTCTCACACAGTGCGACAGCTACGACCACAGCCCCGTACAGCACTGATACCTCCACCGACTACAGCCAGTACAACCAAGCCTACACCCAGGTACTGCAAAACATGCACTTTGCAAATGACACAAATGTGGCGATAGATAGCTGGATGTGGGTCTGCGTGTTCACAATTGGGTTCACGAGTGTTACTAGGCCTAAAATGTGTGAGAGAGGGATGGTAGCTGAATAGATGGATGGATTTAAAGCAAGGATGAGTGCAGCAGTGACAGAATGAGCCGTAACTAGGGGAGGCAGGGAGGTGGAAGGGATGAGAATGGGTTTGGATATTTGGACAGACAGAGTGAGAGTGGATTTGGCAGTGAGCGCTGTGTGTCTCCATCTGTCCCTGCTCCCCTCCTCTCTCCTAACACTCCACTCAGAACAAGTCATGAAGCCCCCCTTCTGAATGTTTGTCTGCACTTATCATCCTTTCTATTCTTTATTTCTGTCACCTTTTTTTCCCCCCCTCCGTCTCCGCACTTGTCGTAGTTACGCCTCCCCCAGCAGCAAGTGACATATCTGATATTTGCAGGAAGAAGCAAACCCAATTTTAAATGTTAATTACAATCTACTCATCCAAACAAATGAGTCATGATTAGATAACCAATAAAACGGTCGGTTTAATTTGTGTGGAAAGACAAGACAAAGGAGAGGAACAGGAGAGAGCCGACGGCAGGAACAATAGTTAACGAACGACAAAGACACAGGCAGACATAGAGAAGGGGGCCAAAAAAAAAAGAAATCAGCAACAACTAGAAAATGACTGAGCAAACAGTATTTGTCTGGCTCCATTCACCCTTTGGCTGATGTTTGCTGATGTGTATGTGCGACGCAGGAGGCCATGCAGCAGTGGTACCAGCACTACCAGGCAGCACAAGCTCACACCTACAACACTGCTGCTCCACAGGACAACACAGCCACAGATTACAGCAAGGAGCACACACAGGTAACACACACACTCAACTGTTATATTGGGTTTCTCTATGCACATCTGTGTGCAAATTACTTTTTGTGGGGTTTGTTTGTTTCACCAAAAATGTTCTTTTTTTTTTTTTTTTAAAGGGGCAAAGCAGTCCCCATGAAACAATGTCAGCTTCACTTTATCGTAAATTTGTTGTCAACTGAGAATATCCTGCCGCTAATACAAAGTAAAGGAAAGAACGAAGGGAAAACACAGTGATGTAGATCAACCCAAGTCCATCCAAATGAGGAAAAAACTAATGAAGGAATATTTGTGTTCAAATCTATTTTTCAACAGAAGCTCCATATATTTGCATTGCTGTTTATTTATAATAAATACAGATTACTTCCTGGATTTTTACTGTTGAAAAAAAACAACAACTGTAAAGTACAACAGCTGTGAAATTACCTTCTTGTGTTGCAGGCTCCAGCAGTGTCCTCCTACGGCGATTACAGTTCCTACATGCAGGCCGTCACTCAGTACTACTCCCAACCGGCAACAGCCAACCAGGCCTATGCCAGCAAGGTAGAAATTTTCTTTTAAAATGCATAACTTCTGCAAAGTTTAAATCTATGTTTTGCGTTGCCTAATGCTTGTGCTACTTTCAGCCACAGTTCCACTTTGTCAAGGTGATCGTTTTTCTCTGGTCCTACTCTTCACCGTTGCTGTTGTAGTGTTTTCTACAACTGAGCAGCCCTGTTCATGTTCACATCGGCACACTCAGTGTATGTGCAGAGGGCAGAGATGGACAGAGATTTTTTTTCTAAAACAATCCCAGAATGCTCATTCACAGCTTTTCATTTTGAATTCTCAAGGTCTGAACTCACATTGATCCTCAGCATACACAGTCCATGTATCCATTCACTTCAATTATCCGCATGCATCGGTGACGCCGAAGAGCTTCTGCAGGGATAAAGGATTTGACACAAGTTAGTCATTTGTTTCCTTGAATTAGTGATAACTGAGCACAAATTATTAATTTGAGGGTAAGAGGAGCCCATTTGGAAAGTCCATGACCTCACACAGAGCGTTATTAAAGCAAATTCTGCTGCCAGCTCCGTAATGTGCACAGAGTCTGATTAGATTTTTTGTGTTTGTTTGACGGAGACACATGCAGAGCAGGACTTCACACAGTCTAAAGTTCATGTTGCCAGTTCACGCATGCATTTTTAAAACTCTTTCTAAATGTCTTCAAACCCAGTGTCGTTTGGCATTTCTGTGCTGTTTTTCTTTCTCACTTATTGGCTGACACAGATACCAGTATAGCTGTAATATGTCTGACTCTTATCAATCCAGCTCTACCCGCCAGGCTGTATATATTTATAAAAATAAATAAAAAGAAAATGAAGCTTGTTAAAACCTAACTTGACTGAAAACAACATTCTGTCCTTCAGACTAAGTTACAGCCCTCAGAGCTGAATGCTGGCATTTACATGCAGTTTGTCTGTATGTCTACTTGGAGAGGGTGACCTCTCTGTAAGACACTGATACCCTGTTAGAGGGAACACATCACTCTGCACCCAGCAGCTGATACCAGCCATCTCCACATGCCCAGAGCAGCCAGGACCAGGCTTATCTGCTGCTGCTTGAGGCTGTGTGTGTGTGTGTACTTGTGTTATTCGGTTGTTACTAGGTTGTGGGGACATAAACCTGTTCCCAGTGTCACATAGTGTGCACAAAAAGCAAGTCCCCATAATTTAAAACATAAAATTTTGCATGAAGACTTCTTTTAAAGCTATCGTGAAGTCAGGCGTAGGCAAGCAGTGGTGAAGGTGTGTGTCCAGGATGAATGAACACATCAGTGTCATGTCCTCTGAAGTGATGGAAACACAACTGTTTGTTGTTGTGTGTAGTGTTTGCTTAAAGATGGCCCTTGTTGCGTAGCTGCGTTACATTGTGGCCTGGTGAGCTCACTCCTGGTGGAGAAACTGATATCTTGGAGAAATGATGTGAAGGGTTTCTGACACCAAGTTTTGGCAATAAACTGAACTGAAACTATGCAGAGATGACATTACGGTATTCAGAACATACAGCAGCAGACCGGATGAATGAGTGATCTGTAGTTGACAAGAGCATGTCTCTAAACGGCCACTAGAGAGCAGAAAGGTTACCATGAATCAATTAAAGAAAAGAATCGGAGTTCATTTTCTGTCGAGTCATGAGGTGCTGTCGACACTTATGACATGCTAACAGCTAAACAGAACTACAAATGTAAGGAGGATGTTTTCTTCATAGCCTTGGTAGTTTCTTGTCAAGCTGGTCATTCACTAGACGTTTTCTGTATGTCTTCTTGCAGGAGGTAGATGTGTGTAAGCCTCTCGGAGTGTCTCTGCATGCAGTCAGTAACGGCGCGGCTCCTCCACCAGCCGTCCTACCTGCTGCCGCCGTGCTGCCGGCCTACAGCACCCTGCCTTTAATGCCCAGCTTCCTCGGGGCGCCGCACCCGGCGGCCGCCACACCCAACCCCGTCACGCATGCGCACACTGCCGCCACCGACTGGAACACCTACTACTATGTAAGTAGAGAAAATCCACTTTGTCATAGAGAACATGAAACCTTTAATACTTGTCAAAGTAAAGCTGGAAGAAACGCCTGTTTTATTGTTTGCTTCAGCTTAAATGACACAATCCAATATAGTGCAGCGAAGTACTTCAGAGTTTCATCTTCTGATGTTAGTGGGCAGGACGGGTTGTTGACGGTGGAAATCTGTGGGATGGGATCACTGTTCACCTCGTCGAGTATTTCACTTGTGTATGCCTTTATGTTTAATAGGATAATCCTTAACACCGGCACATTCTGTGTACAAAGCAGTATAATAAATAACAGTAAAGACTATTGTTTTACACATCAGTATTTTATGAGTGTGGTCAGAAGACTGTTGTTTGCTTTTAAAATGAGTTACTGCGAGCGAATCGGGAATACCTTTTCTTTTACTGTAGCTGCTTCACAATAAAAGCAAACAAAGCACTGAAATGTGAGGATGAAAGGTTTTCCATGTGAAGCAGTAACAGGCGATACCAGTATGCATTACTGCTGTAAGTGATGGAAGGAGTCTTTATTTACAACAACAATAATTGAGTATATTTGATGAGACATATTCAGTTTTTTCTAATCTATTATCATTTTAATTTCCCTTTTCTTCATGAATTCAACCTAGAGTTTACCAGAAGTACAGTTTTTATAGTTTTCCATCCGTGTAAAGGTTTGCTTTTTTGTTTTTTTTTCCAATTAGCATTTTGTGATGATAGTACGCTTAGATGTTTCACTTTAAAAGAAGCTACAGTGGCTCAAAGGGCATAATCCATACCTTTCTTGCTTTTTGTCGAATTGAACTAAACAACAATAAAAAGGAAGCTCAAAGCAGCAGACTGATGAGTTTGTTGTCCAAACGGCACATTGTACTGTACATAAACAATTACAGAAGTGCAAGCTTTTATTTAGGTGTTTCTAATAGGTTGCATTACTGCACATTAGACTGCTGTTTATCTGCAGAGAGTTGCAATTAGCTTGTGTCTACCCACTAGTCTTTATGGGGAACACCGGACTTCGTAGCACATATGGAGCTAAAATCAGTGTTTTACTAAAAGCTTGTTATGGCATTTCTGTGTGAGAGGTGGCAGAAGAGCCTCGGTGCAGCTTTCATTTTTTTCCACATTGTCCAAGGCTGTAAAAACCACTTAGAGAAAAGAGATGGAGGAGCTTCATCGAGCGAAAGCATGATGACGTAAACAGACCGGGGCCAGACGTGTGAGCTGAGCCTCATCTCAAGAAAGATTTACATGTGTTTGTACAGACAGCATCTGTGGCCCTCTCTCACTGCAGCTAAGACCTTTACGCACACACACACACACACACACACACACACACACACATTTGTATGGTATCTTTGTGAAGACATTCACTGACGTAATGCATTTCCTTTTCCCTGACTGTAGCCGTCACAATTAGGTACCCAACCCGAACTCTTAATCTAACTGAAACGTCATTCTAACCTTTATCAAGTGTTGAAAGTGAGTATCAGCCAAAATGTCCTCATTTTTCCAAAATGTTCTCACTCAGTCCAAAACTCAAACTCGTCCTCATGACGATAGTTGAACAAAACACACACACACACACACACACACACACACACACACACACAAACTTGCATCCAAATCAGGATGTTTTTGTTCTTGCCAGAATCCCCAACTACTCACCTTCTTTTTCACTGGCTTTCTTTTTTAATTTTTCTTTCTTTCTTTCAGGTTATCTTCAGTTTTCTTATTTAACTTTCTGAAATCCAAGCATTTTTTTTTTCCTGTCACATGTTCACTCACTGTGGGCCCATTTTTCACTGCAAGTCCTGCACCTCTGTGGAAACAAAACAACAATGGCTAGCAGTCAAGAGAACTTTAAAATGGCCTCTGTGTCGTACAATACACGTATAATGCCTTAAAACCCCAAAATAAAAAAATTTGTGGAATAAAAAAAATTCCAATGTGGAATTAATTATTTTCTGCAGTCGTTGTCAATACTGGAAAAAATGAAGCCTCATAATCATAACATTGTGCTGCAAGGTGGCGCAGTTGGTAGCACTGTTGCCTCGCAGCCAGGAGGTCGCCGGCACGGGGATCTTTCTGCGTGGAGTTTGCATGTTCTCCCCGTGCAGCGTGGGTTCTCTTCAGGTTCTCCTGCTTCTTCCCACAGTCCAAAAACATGTTGAGGTTAATTGGTGATTCTAAATTGTCCGTAGGTGTGAATGTGAGTGTGTTTGGTTGTCTGTCTCTGTAGGGTTTTAATCCTTAACATTTAAATAAAGTAGGCAAATTCACACTGTAAATAACACTGCAGGGTGTCAAGCTTAATATGTAAACTTTCTTGACAAATTTATAACACCATTTTTTTTGACTCGACACAAGCAACACTTAATGTAATTTATTCTATATTATTATGTAAATTTTTTATTTTTTTAAAAACTGTGGATGTTTCTCTTCTGTGATACATGTTAGACAAAAAACAACAGTTGGCTTGGGGTGAATTCATCTTCCAGGAAGGCACAGATGTTCGGTGGAATCATCTTTCGAAAGTTTTTGAGTCTTAAAAGCAACAGATCTGCATCTATTAGTGGCTTTCTAGCTTCTGGAGGGAGTGGTATAGTTTAACTCACGACTAGTGCGACAATATTCAACTGTTGTTCACCTCTTCTTCTTCTTCCTCCTCCTCTCCTTTCATTCCTGTCTCATCAGAACCAGACGAGGGGCCATAAGAGGGAGTATCCTCAGCTGGCGGTGCAGGAGGTGACCTCCTCAGACGGTGCCTACATCGGGCAGCACTCCCAGGGCCTGGGAGGGCAGTACGCCGACTACTTTAAGAGGAAGAGGCTCTAGTATGAACCAAACCACCTTAAAGCCTAAAGCTTAGGGAGGGAGGCACAAACAGCTCGGATGTCTGCTGGATGTCACGGCTCCCTCTAGTGGCCTTTCTGTGGCTGCCATTTTGCATCCCTACAGTAGGTATTGAGTTTAGTAGAATCAGGGTTGCAAATGGCTCAAGTGAAAGCAAGCCATAGTGCTCTTTGATCTTGGCACTTATGTACACACACACACACACACACACACACACACACTTACACACTTACACACATACACAGTGTTGCTTTTGTCCTGTTCAAGCCTTAACTCTTTAACTTAAACTGTTGTTTCTCAGTCAGTGCGTTAACTGTACTTAACTAATATTACCTTGTACATTTTTTCTAATATCATGTAAACTGAAGTAAATCGTGTCTGTACGTACAAGCTGCTTTTGTATTTGCAAGCTGGCGACCCGTCTGCCTGCTGACACTGCCCTAGGACTGGTCCCACAGTCAGGTCTCTCTGTCTCCCTTTTAAAAAAAAAAAAATAATAATCTAAACGTGTCTGATGTCGCACACCCACGCTTTGATTCGTCAGACGGACTGACATCTGTTTGTTCCCGCTTCACTGTCTCCTCTCCCGTTCCTTTCGTTGCACAGGTTCCTATTTAAATCTCCCTGCTGAGAATTAGAGCGCGTGTGTGTGTGTGTGCATGTTTGTGTGTGTGTCGCTATGCTGTATCTGTAGGAAGTGTCAGCCATTTCAATCCCAAGGTTTGGGAGCACATCAGGAAAAAAAAAAAGGGGCCTGAACCAATCAAAGCCCTTAATTGTGGTGACTTCCAATAGCTTCCCTCAATGAATGGACCTTTCTTATAAAGACTGGACAGAAAATAAAAGGCTGGTGTAAATACTGCAGTGTAATACAGAATATATAAAGCCATGCGTAATAGACAATATCATATATAATGGACTTTCCTTTGTGAGCGTATTGTATAACACGAATGAAAGGAAAAGATATATTAAATGTCTGATTTTTTTTTTTATTATTTTAAACTATACTGTTATATATTTGTAATATAATAATATTCCAAGGCAATTCAAGTCATTTATTAATACTGAATCAAAATTGTTTTGACTTAAATGTAGTTATTTGATTTGGTTTTTAACTTTTAAGCCAAATATTAGGGCGCAGTCCTTTTCTCTTTTCTTTTTTTTTTTTTTATCTTCTCTTTTCTTGTGAAACATTTTTCAGGAGGTTTTTGTTGGAACTGTAACAGGAGCTTTACTTTCATATCCAGCTGCCATTTTTCATAAAGGTTTTACTCTTTAAGTGTCTCCTAATCCATACTACATACTAATTAGCACAGGTTTGAGTGTGTTTGCACTGCCATAGCCTGCTCCAATCACTCACTTGTGATTTCTGAGTGTGCCGTCGCGGGTCACCGTCCATCTCGTGAGGAGCAAATTACAGATAAAATTAAAAACTAATGGTGGATGACGGTGAAACAACTCCCACGACACCTGGAAAATCGAAAACAGAGCCATTTCTTTTTTCTTTTTGGGGGAGAGAAATTAGCCGTTACAGAGGAAAGTTTAATCGCTGGTGTAATTCAAGAGTCACAGTTTGATTTCACTTGCACAGTGCACATATTACATCATGCTCTGTCATTATAAAACAGTGCAGATTTTTAATTCTAACTCTTAAGAAAACAATATACAAAGTCGTATACGATGTGTGCAGTTGGTATGTAGTATACGATTGGGACCGTCTGGGTGATTTTCAGCATTTCTGTTGCTTTTTGCACATGAAATGCTTCTAATATGCTGCTTTGCATGTGAAATTCTGCACCTTAATTTTGAGTTTTTAAGTGGAGAGAAAGCTATTTATTGATGTTTATTTTGGCCGAGCTGAATTTCTTTCCAAGTGGCTTTTACAAAGGAACATGATGCCATGTCTTAATTTTCTCCTTTGCAAAAACTAACTCCAATAATGTATTTGATGTATCTCATTTCTACCAGTGTCCTTATTAACATTAGTGCACAGGCTGTGTGCAGATGGTTGTTTGGCGTTCGTCACAGCTTTCAGATTTCAGTTTGGACATTAGGTTTAGGTGCACAGGCCTCTTGTCTAACAAACCGGCAATAACTAATGCTCCTACTGCTGTAGAAAGTTGAATGTTTAAGTTTGTAGTGAAAATCTTTTGCCATTCACGCAGCGTTATATACTCATAGCAGCTCATACACAAGGTGAAAGCTTCTTTTTTTTTTTAATGTTTGTGTCTTTACATTCTGCTCTTAACTATCTGATATATCTCTGAGAAGAATATTGCTTGCATTGCCATGGCAACCACGCTCATCACACACTGTGAAAACCAATAGAAGGTGAGATCAGATAATGTGTACGCGTCAGTTCAGTCCGTGTGTGAGTTTTTTTTTTTTTAATCACTGAGGTAACGGCTCACTGTAAACAGGATGTACATGATGTGCACTGACACAACAACGAGAGAGTGTCGCCGCTGATGTGGGAGCGGTGTCGTGAAGTCCTGAGAAAAATGGCTAAACATTAAACTAAGGGCAATAAACAGACACACACATTGTCGTGTTTCCCATTACTTCTTTGTCTGCTCTGTCATGTTTTTGTAAATCACTTTTACCGTCATGTGTTCCGTGGTGTCTTTCAGTTTTCTGATCACATTGAACTGTAACACATTTTGAAGCAAGTATCCGTGATCCATAATGCAGGATATAGACAAGAGAGAAGAAGAAGAAAAGAAAGGAGAGGATGCTAAACATTTGCACAAATACAGGAAGGAGAGGATCAGCCAGAGTGACTGCTGATCAAAGCCTGAGTGTACACACAATGTGCACTGTATAATTAATTTTCTTCCTTTTGTGCACTTGACGGCTCCTCTCCTGTTATTTCAGACTCATTTGAGAAGCTTCCTTCCTCAGTTTTTATGGATTTATGGAAGATATGGACAGTTTACCCATACACTTCCCCTGTTGTTACCTTCAGTCATTTTTATTCAAAGGCACCTGACATTAGTCTGACGTATGAGGGCAGAATCTGATTCCAGTGGATGTGCAGCTGCTGATCCTAAAACTTCACATGACATTTTAGATGACTTTAAAGGAAGTCATATTTAATTTTATTTGTCTTTATGACAGCGTGCACGTTCTATTTAGCATCCACTTCTGCCACATTCTATATTAATCTGCTGACTTGTCTTTGCATTCAAGCTGTCTGCTTCACCAAACTACCCTCCAAATTCTAAATTATTTCCAAACTCCAAATTAGCTTTAAACATTTAATTCTCTAAATCTGTCTTCGCAACCGAGTTCTTTAAATAATGTGCTTTAGAGACAAGTGTCAGCTTATTATATGAATGAGTAACCGGCTTCACATTACAGACACATGGAATAAAAAATCATCATTTGACACTAAGCTGGGATCACATGCTTTTATTTGGGGTTTTATTTTTTAAAACTGCTTTGAAATACCCTGCACAGTCTAATTTCTGCTGTGTCGGCTTTACATTTGCATATTTCACACCTGCAAATTCAACAATGTATTATCAGTATGAAATTGCACAGGAGACGTGTAAGTTAAACATCTAGGACGCCCTCTCCCATCCTTCCTTGCTCTGCTGCTTGAACCCTCAAACGGTCTGTTTGCTCAGTCTGGTTTGCTGATGTTTCCTGAAGTGAGTCCACCTGCTACCACAGGGAGAAAGAGCCCCGTGAAATCTGCATGTGGTCAAATCTACTACATCTCTCACAATGTGTGGCTATTTGCAGAAGCAGTTTTTGTATTTACCCCTCTTAAGCATTTCTATTAATTGATTTTTTTCCCCCTCATACTGTGCTTCCCTCTGCCTGATCTCCTCTGAATCAACTGTAACTACTCAGATAAAATGTGTGGCGCCGTGGTCCTCTGGACTCTCTCTGGACCACACTTTGATTTGCTTCCTGGTGTGAGTGTTTGAAAACTGTCCAGTCGGACTCCAGCGCTCGCTTTTCGCCAGGTGATTGCGCTCAACTCCACCTCCCTAAAAGACGAGATAGAAATGTCTGTGTGTGAGTGAGAGTGTGTTACGATCGGCGGCCGGGCCTCTGTTTGTGGAGGTGAACAGCTGAGGCAGCAGACTTTAAAATGCACTGTTTGCTCGTCTGGTTTCCCGTCTGCCTGCCTGCCTGCCTGTCTGTCTGTCTGTCTTCCTGCCTGTCTGTTTTCCACTCTGACTGTCTCCCACAATGGATTCAGGTACTGAACTCAGTCATGCCTGAATTGTTTTAGAGGAATTCCATCCGTCGTGTCAGCTTTTTTACTACATTATGTCATTGTTGTGTGGAAGTTACAAGAGAACGAGTGTAACTGATGCTTCGAGAAGTAGAATTAAAGCACTAGAATAAAATTTACATACAGTCATCCTCAAATGTATTCATACCCTTCCATTAAAGAAAAGGAAAAATTCACAATAGTCACTCAAATAACTAGAAACTGAACAAAGTAATAATAAATAAAAATTTGCTAAATTATAATTTAGTGGAATGAGACATTGTTTTTGAATTCTGGCTAAAAAGAATAATAAAAAAATAAAAATAAAAAAAAAACTGTCCTGGACAAATTAGAGCACTTTGCTGATGAGCAGTGGGCCAAAATCAGAGTTACAGAAAACACTTGATTGCAGTGATTGGTTCAAAGGGTTGTTCAACAAAATATTAGTTTACGGGTCCAATCATGCTTGGGTTTTTCATTAATTTTTTTATTGATTATTGTTTTTGTCAATTTCAACTTTTTACAGTGACACGTGTTCCTTCCTTTCCTTCTTTAATGGGAAGGTATGAATACATTGGAGGACGACTATATGTAATATTGGCCCAAGAGCGGTACCTACCCTATTTGACTTCTATTAGTGTGTTAGACCCTGTCTTCTGAGTTGTAAGTCTACTTTCCCACATCCTCATTCGTTTGAAGTCACTGTAAAGGTGATTCCGTCGGAGAGATGCCACAGATTTCACTTTTAAGCACTCCTACATTTGTGTCATGGACAGAAAAATGACCAAATGTGTTCTGTTCTCTCCTCGTTGTCATTCTGATGTGTGACTGACGGGTTCTCAGTGTGGCTGGAGTTGAGAAAAGCACCAGTGCAACTGTGGTTTTTGTTTTTTTTTAACTATAAAACTTTCTAGAAAATATATTCAAACTGAGGAAGAAAGGGAATACAGTTTGAATTTTTAGCCACAACAAACTGAGCTGATAAACAAGATTTGGTGGAGAGCTGTTGTTTGTGGATTTTTCTTCACATTAATGAGGAACTGGAGGTTGAGTTGTTAATGCATACATGCCTTTAAGTAGCAAGTCCCTGGTTTGATCTCTGACTGCTGGATCTTTGCTATCTGTTGTTTCCCTTATTTCTTTCCCCACATTTCCTGTCTGTCCGCTGAAACTCTCTAACAAAGGTCAACAACATTAGGAATCAGCAGTGGTTTTGCATTTACCTACTTATATTTCAGTATTACAGGTGTGGCGTTGGGCAGATGTACTATTAAGCAGCTTGTTGTTAAACTAACGCGTTGGTTTCCTTCTCCACCCAGCAAACAGCGAGCCTCTGTTGAGCTTGATGAAGTGATTTGGTCTCATTAAGGCATTAGTTGTTCTCGTTTGCCAGCCCGTAGCTCCAGCTTTTCATTCGGGTTGAACATAGCAAGTCTGCTGCGTAGGATTTCCAGTTAACCCGTCGCGGAGTTGTTTTTTTTGTCGTGGTTATTGTTGTTTGCATTTCCTCTGGTCTTCTTCATCTTATTTGCATCTAACAGAAACATACGGTGGCCCCTTCAGACAAACTGATGCATAAGAGAAACATGCTCCAAATAAAAAAATAAAAAAAACACATGCAAAAGGGAAAAGGCTGCAGACACTGACAGTCCTCTGCAACGCTGCAGGGGAGTGATGAGCATCAATGTTACAGATAATTGTGCGTGCCCATCAGGCTTAGTCGCTCTGTGTTGCTACTTGTCTGTCTTTGATGCTCGCTGCTGGGTTTAATTGAGCCCATCACTTTACTCTTAGTGTCTTGGGGCACTTTCAATTCTTTTTGGTATTTGTTCTAATTTTTTTCCTGAAATGCTTGTGCTTGTGCTTGTGCTCTCTGTTTTGTCCTTATGTCCATACCATCCCGGCATCTGGCTCAGTGATCATCTGTTTTTCCTCTTTGCACACGTACATCACATACACTTTAAGAAAGACACGTCAACCAGTAATGTCCTGCTGAAGTCTGCCAGAAAATTGTTGGTAAGCACATTTTTCCACCGTCTTCCTGGAAGTGTTCCGACTCCGCCGGTCAGAGATGTGAGTTTTCTCACAAAATAATACGCTTGTGCTCCAAACACGGCTTACACTTTCACAATCAGGCCTCTCGCGTGTTGATTTAAGGATTGAACGGTTTGCCGTGTCTTCTCTCAGTAGCTCCATCAGATCTGAACTTTCTTAATGGTACTAAATTGCAGATAATGAGATTGGAGCTGGTGTTTACGTCGACTGGTGCTCTGTGTGTGTGTGTGCTGGAATCACTAATTGTGTGTGTGTGTGTCTGTGGGTGTAGCTCTCTAGAAATGTGCTCCTGGCAGGTAATGGGGGTAAGAAGTAGACAGGCTGAAAGAAAAGAGAGGAATAGAAAAACAACTCCAGCTGCCTTCAGCTGCTCAGCCTGCAGGGATTTCTCTTTTTTTCCTTTCCTTTTTTTTTTGACTTTCTCCTCCTCTGTCTGCTCGCTCAATGAAGTGTTGGTTATGTCTGCCAGACTCCTGCATGTTGCACGTACCTGTAGAACTACCACACGCTGGAAATGTCTCCTCTCCGTCTGGTGTTTGTATTAGATGGACCCTTACAGACCGTTTTGCCCTTCTGTTTTCATGCAGTTCCCCTGCCGTGATTCAGATCTTTATGAATTCATTATAATGCTTATTATTGTCTCTCCTGGGGAGTAAATCATCACGCTTATTCAGTGTCAACAGAGGGAATAATCACGGTGAGCATTCTAAAGGTCAGCTGACAGACATCATTGCTGCCTCCGTGGTGAGCAGATATCTGACAGCAGTCGAACTGCACGCGACACACTGCACGGACACATCAGGTGACAGTTACCTCGGTCAGGATGTGTGCAAATGTGGCTTTGTGCAAAATATTCCAACTAAATCTGCATCAATAACTTTAAAAAGATGAGGGCCCGTGCAAAGACCATAGACTGTATATAAAAGCTAGGCACAGCGACTGTAATGTCACCCGTTACTTTGTGGACTATCGTTTCTTATTCTTTCTAAATAAACATGAGCGAGTGAGGGGTGCATCTGACAAAAAATTTAAAATGCTGTGTGCACTTATACATCAGTGACTGTCAATCAGAAGGTAGACTAAAACATGTTCTGCTTTATTGTCTATTTTATTGTAAATGGGACCATCATTGACAAAATGAACATCAAGTTGCATTGAGGAAGACGTAAAGTTAGTGATTGAGACCATAAAATAATTTTAAAAATATTTACTGATATAAAAGATCAAGGGAGAAGTAAGATCAGTGTCATATAGACTTCTGTACAATCTTTTTGCAAA